TTTTTTTTGTTTTCTTTATGCAGCTCACTATTACTGTAAGCAGTTGCACTCGATTCTGTATTTACAGTGTAAGTATATGCATATATACGTAAGACGTACCTCATTGAAACAAACATTTGAACACTGTTTCTTGTATTCTGTACGCAATGCAATCGTATGAGTGAACTCACACAGATGAACGCGTGTAGAAGTGGCAACAAAGCAAACATCGTAATACGTATTACGCTTTTTCTATATCGTATAAAGTAAATTTTGACACATCAGCTGTCAACGTACAACATTATTCCGTGTATAAGGCACGCAAAGCAACGTATCGTTTATTTGGTGAATCTCTTTATTGAGTTTAATGACAGCTAAACATATCACAATTCATTCGATATAAACAAATAGACGTAACATTTCTACCATTTTTTCTCATTATTTGTGTTGTTGTTTGCGAGAAATTTAAGTGCCTGAAAAATTAACTAAAAAAAAGAAAAAAATTGTCTACGTATTAATTGCGCAAATAAAATCCAAATAGAAAAATGTCTGTAAATGTTGATATGCCAGATGTGAGCGGAAACATGTCCGAAGCACCACAACCACAAAAATTTCGCTTTTCCACGTAAACAAATCATAGCTAATTTTTATACTTGAATGAGATTTTCACTAATTGAATATGTATTTTCGTTTTAGATTGACAACAAAGATACCACGTTTCAATGAAGTCTGGACATTTGTACGGCAAAACATGCGACCATGGTCGGAATTCTTCAATTTCAACAATTTCAAAACAGTGGCCAATTTCCAACGTTTGTCGAGTCGTTTCTTACGAAATTGCAACTATTTCCTGATCAACTATTTAGTCGTTAGCTTTGTACTGGTTTTATACTGTTTGTGAGTTTTATCATGAATTATAGTTGATAAGATGCGAACGGAAGACGACGAATTGATAAAAAAAATAATTGTTTTTTTATTACACACAGAATTACGTCACCATTGATTTTGCTCGTTATTATCGGGCTGATGTATGCCAGCTATCGCATTCGACAAATTGAGGGGCCAGTTCTTCTTTTCGGAAAACTCTTTTCTATCAATCAATTGTGCATCGCGTTGAATATTGCCGGAATACCAATTTTGTACTTGTTCGGCGCTGGAAATATTATGTTCTGGGTCGTCGGTAAGATATCAATTCAATGTTGAAATGATACTTATTTTTAGTTTAAAAATTCTAACGTCGTTTTAAATTTTACATAATAGGTGCCTCTACATTGGTTGTTGCTTTGCATGCAACATTCTATAACATTGATGCAGTCGTAACCGAAGAACTTGACGCATTCCTAGCTGATTCGGAAACCGTTTAAGTATCGTCGAATTTTTTTAATTTATTGGTGCTAAATTATACCACCCCCTTCTTTTATTGATATTGTTATTATCAGTTCTGCTTGATAAACACATAATTTCATATGATTCAAATCAAGGAAATTCGGTTGAACACCATTGATTGTTTACAAACCTCTATAGTTTTAGTCATTTTTTGGAGGCATTCTTATGATTTAATTTTCAATCTAAATTGAATAGTTATAAAATGAATCACATTTAATTAAGATTCGAATGAAAAATGAATGTAAATATATTTTAATAAAAAAAAGAACAAACATTTACAAATTGAAAAGAAAATTTCCCGTCATTTTATTAAACTAAATGTTATATGATCAAGTAGAATTTAATACAATAAATCCAATAATAAAATTGTTTTTTAGCTTTTTAACCAGGCGACGATTTTCTTATTAAATTAAGGCGATTTTCTTATTAAATTTATGTCAACAATAGCTTGAAACGTGATCATCTGTTTCATACAAGCACAATGGACATAGGTAGGATATACTGTTATAATTTTGATAAAGTATGATTTTGATTTCATTCAATTTTCTACTAGTAGCTACAGCTGTTTTCTATACATACGTATGTAATATATACTGAAAATGATCCAATGTTGAAATTTGTTTATGAATACCGTCCAAATTAAATAAGATAATTTTTTTTGAATTTTTATCCTTTATTTTTGCTTTCCAACGATATTATACAAATGAGTTTAATTATTGTAGTTATTCAAAGTTTTATTCGTATGCTTCCAGTCCAAAGTGAAATGATGTAACATTTTTGTTGAATTTATCATCACGTTTAGTTGAATAACCAAGAAATAACAAACATCTAAACAAATCACGAAAAAATGATTGAATATTGATTTTTATGAAAATTCTTCACTACTTACCAATACCAAATTACCCCAAGTGTACAACGGATATGTACTTAGTCTTTGTAAAAAAATGAATTTGCAACTATTCCACCGGCAATAAATCCCATTTGTGAAAGTAAATATTGCAATAGAATTAAACCACAGCCAATCATGAAAAGAAATAAATACATTGTGTAATGTGTATACAAAATTAAACGGTAAAAGACTTTTAAAAATTATTATTTTCTTGTGAAAACACGACTGTGAACTAAAAGTTATGATTTTATTTGGTATTATATATGCCGAACAAAGGGTAAATAAAATTTATTTTTGAAATAAAGATAAACTTACGGTTCTCCGTGTGTATGTTGGAAAACAGAATTGTATGGTACGCATAGAAAAAGTGAATTTTATGCGTACAACAATCATACAATATGCATACAATGTCGTGTACAAGCTTGTAATGACGTTCATGATAATGTGTAAACATCAAAAATCAAACTAAGTACATGGAATGTGGAAAAACCACATAAGATGAAATACAGAACTTTGCACTAAGATTCAATAAACGAATCATATTCAAAAGGTTAAGAATCGTTCAAGATCAGATCATTTTACGGATGAAAATGATATCCATTTGGTTAGCGACTATTTTCTGAATTGAAATTTTGTGACAACAACAGCTTGTTGCCTCAATGTGACTCGAAATATAGACATGTAAATTACTAAAGTAGAAGTTCATTCACATTCAGATAGTTGCCACAAAATTGAAATTCACAAAGTCACTATATTAATATCTGGGATGTCTATCTATCTAGATGTATTGTGTGCAAATATTATACATTGATATTAATTTCAAATATATTTGTTGCGCGATTTATAACATGAATATGTGAAAAGTATCGAAGAAATAGATATTTTTTAATTTTTTGTTTAGTGGATGAAAAACAGGATATTTCGAAACTATAAAATAAATATTGAAATTTATGGAATTGTGAAACTGTATGCAAAATTTTATTTATTATTTTTTGTCAAAAGAATTACGTAAATCGTAAGGAATTTAATATAACAAAAACCTAGACAAAAACACAACTCGTCTTAAATTACACATTCAATTAATCACCATTCTCGATATTTATTTTATTTATTCACCGCAATGGGAGGAAATGACAGCAAATTTTAAAATTGGCGCGCTGTTTAGTCTCGATTTGAGTTGTAAAATTACATTGACGTCCCCTTTGGAATTCGATGCGCCACCGTCGGCTCAAAGAGACTTGAAGTCTTCACATCCGCTCATTGATTCACCGTCTGATCACAGACTGAATTTATCACAAAATTTGATAAATGGATCGAAAAAATGTAACAAAACATCCGATGAAAAAAAAATCATCAAAGCATTCCGATCACGACTGGTGTCTTGGTATTTGGAATACTAATTAATAGATGTAAATTTAATTGTAATAAGAATTATTCAATGGAATAAATAAATAAAAATTCATTCGTTTTGTACTGTTTTTCATCAAAAATCAACTGTATAAAAAGAAGACGAAATCAATAGAATTTCATCAGTTCTGAATTTACTTTATTCCAGAAAGAACCGAATTAAAATGAAATATTCATTTGCTATCACTTTCTTTGCTGCCGCAATTTTTATGCTGGCCAGGTAATTTTCATTTGAATATTAACAATTTTTATTTAAATGATAATTTTATTTGAACGATTTAGCGCTAAACCATCTCCAGATGAGGTTAATAAGTAAGATATATTTATTATACATTTACAATATGACAAAAAATAATAACATTCAATCTTGTCTATTACAGAACTATAACACTTTTAGAAAATTCAACCACTGGTGAATATATGCTATCGACGTAAGTTTGGTGTTTTTTTCATTGTCAATAAATCACAATTTTATTTCCATTGTGTTCTATGTTTCCACCGTAGCTTGATTGACAATAAAATTATCACGTAAGTTTTAAATTCAAAACTGGTAAACATTCACTAATTAATATTGCTTTGTTTCTGGAACACATCAGAAAAGACTCGACCCTTGGAAAGTAAGAATCAATGTAAATATATTTTTTAGCCAGTCTTAATATATCTTTCGGGTTCTTTTTAGTGCGGTTGCTCGCGTAGCTTTATACAAAGGATCGTGAGTAGTTTTTAGTTTAAGAGAAAATGAAATCATGATTTATATTTTTATTGTATGTTCACATTTGCAGAAAGCTTGGAAAACTATTGAAAAACTTGCAAAAAACGCAGACATTTGAGTTTAAAAATGCTTAGTAAAAATCAAGGTTTTATAAAGGGGTTATTTTGTGATGCTCCTGGTGAATGTAATAATATTTTGGAATATTTCAATAAATGGAATTATTAACATTTGAGTTTGATATTTTTTTTGTACATTAACCGATATATTCTCAATATTATGACTTCTATTTCAATTGAAGTGTTGACTTATTTGACCTTTAATGATTTAAATTAGACAGCAAAGAATTAATACGAAATTATATCTGAAAAAAAAAAA